GAGCCTTTTCTGATCACTCTGGAAGAGACTATTCTTGTTTAACCAGCTTGACCTCTCGGTAAATCATCGAATCCGCTTCCGCCAAGCAGCGATCTTTTGCTTCAGGTCGTCTATGCGCGCCGTTTGTTTCTGCGTGATATCCGGCTGCGACAAACTGATATTTGTCCCAGCAAACGCCATCCTAACAGTGCGCAAAATCCTCTGTTATTACCCGACCTGAAGCTTGTCAGTCTACCGATAAGGGCCCTTGCCTTTGCGATACGGTCCTCGATTCTTTTTCTCCAGGCTGTGATGGCGCTACTTTGTGTAGTAGGGCATTCAGCCATGGGAATTTTGGCGCCAATAATACGGCAAACTGCCACTGCGGCGCCACAAAGAATTGAGTCCGTCTCGCAAAGGTCCCGGCTGGCTTCCAAATAGGTCACCATTGGGTTAAGAGCCCTCACGACAGCCCGATTTGGCTATAGTCAGTCCTTTATTAAGTATGCGAAGGACATGGGAGATAGGGCCGGGAGATGCTTCGGGAAAATGTCGCGGGTTCGGCGTCCTCCTGGGGCAATCGTTACCCGGCTCTTCGTGTTTTGTACAATGGAACATATGTTCCTATAGTAAGTTATGCAGCGGCAATATGGGTAAATCGGGTAAGGAATTATACGGTGCGCACGTCACTGCTCAGATCACAAAGGACTTCACTCGTTTTGTTGACTAAGAGCTACAGGACGATCAGCACTGCGGCACTTCCGGTACTAGCCGGCGTCCTTCCGGCTGACTTGGAGGCGACACGTGCTGGTAGGATTGATCTCGCGTATGCGGAAGCAGAAAATGGGGAGTTGAGCAGACGTAAGCGCGAGATTTGGGCGGATGTTATGCACGTATGGCAAGAGAGATGGGAAAAAGAGACGAATGGAAGGGAACTTTTCTGTTTCTTCCCAGACGTGTAGGCGCGATTCAACGCAAGTTGGATTGTGCCGGACTATCAAGTCTCGCAGATACTCAGTGGGCATGGATGTTTTCGGAAGAGACTGTATGACATAAAACTGGTTGAATCGGGTATGTGTGATTGCGGTGCTGTATATGAGTATAGGCATCACGTGCTATGGGATTGTATGACGACCTGAGATGTAAGATGATGGACGGAATAGTACGCAAAAGTGAGGGTCCGGTTTATTACCTGGACCTCGTGGACGTTAAGGACAGCTTTGGCTGGCTGCGGGAGTTTGCGCATGGATGGCATGCAAGAAGAACAGCCATGGAGAGGCAAAGGAGCGTTCTGCCCGGAACAGAAGGCGTGGTGTGTTCTTCCAGCCCAGAAGGGGAGAGTGGAATACAAGGGACAGGAACAGATTAAATAACATGTAGAGAGTCAAGAAAGTGTACGCGGGAAAGAGCCCAGAGCAAGTACCGCGTGCATCTCTCGAGATTCGGCCCGTATAACCGTGAGGTTGGTGGGGCCATGGGAGGTGGAGCCCGATTTGGCTTGCTTAGGGCTATGCGGGGAAGTCGCAGTTGATTTTCGAGAGCGGTGCTGCGCGTTTCCAAAATTTCCTCATCCAATATGCTCCACATTTGCTCTAGTTTGTGGGAGACTATTTCATCGTCGTTCGAATCAACCAAAACTGGAAGATCCATGGCGGCTTCTACGTGTGGATGCTGGTCTGTCGCATGTGGAGCTGCATCCCTAGCCATAGCCGATTCATACGATGATAGAATAGCCTCACGTCGTAGTCGTTCGAGTTCGGCATCATAAAATATTTTCGAGCGCATGATGTACCGAACTCAGTCTGCAAGGTTTTGTTCCGTGACGGGAATAGAAGGCTCCAGCTCATCAAAAAAGCAATGCATCCGAGCCTCATACGCTGTTCCCACAGTTTCTTCCCCTTTCACCCTATAGTACGCCCGCAATGCGTTTTCGTTCATAGCTTTTGTCCAACGCATGCGACGTGCTCCACCAGCGGCGGGTGCCGCTTGCTGAGTCCGAGAAAACGCAGCCGACACGAAGCTTTCTGGTGGGGATGATGGGTGCGAAGGGCTGCTAGGTGATCGTGCAGCTCCTCGCGCTCGCCTGGCAGCCCGCATGCTGCCGCGTCCAGGGCCAGCTCCAGACGCGCCCCGGCGACCCCCAGGCAGCGGCCCTATTCACGTTCCTTTCTGTGCCATCATCCATTTTATGGGCGCCAAATAACGGGAGACGCCCAAGCCCGGCAACGTTTCGTGGTTCGGTCATATGCACAAACGGACCTTTGCACCCACAACTTTGCCTAGGCACGGCGCTCACACCTCTTGGCAGGGCGCTGACTGACTGCCCCGACGTAGCAGTTTTGTCACATAACTGTTACGTCAGCGGGCGATGGGGTCGTCACTTCCCTACGCCTTATTATTATTTTTATTATTGGGGGGGTATCAATATAGTGTTCTCACCTGGTTGGGTTCTATAAATATAAATGAAAATGAAAAGATAAATATACATAAATATCAATAACATAAAATAAATATTAAAATACGTATATAAATAAAAACCCAACCAGATGGAGGCCCTAGGCAGGGAAGACCAAACGGCCGAGGGTTAGGGGGAAAAGAAACCAGCGGACGATGCGGGCGGTATCGAGGAGCACCGCTTTCCGCATTTAAGCCTGGAGCAGTCCACCACGTAGTCCCAGCCGCCTCAGATGACCCGAGAGGCTGACTGGGATTAGCCGGTTTGCAGAGACGACTACAGGAATAATTTCGATCGGCAGACCACACAGACAGGTATGTCGACCAAAAATATCCTTAACTGTGCCCGGTCCATCAGCACAATATCAGGCTTATTCGCAAGAATAGTCCTATCTGTGATGATGGCTCGGTCCCAATAGAGCCTGGCGCGATCATTTTCGAGCACAGCTTACGGCAAGTACTTGCAATACAGCAATTTCCGATCCACGAGACCGTATTTCAGAGCGAGCTCCTGGTGAAGAATTCTGGTTACTGGGTTGTGCCTGTGCACGTACTCAGAGTTAGAAAGCACCAAACAACCGAAGATGACATGCCTAAGTGACTCACCGGGATAGTGACAAGCTCGACAGATGTCGACGGTGCCATCCCTTAGGATGTATCTCCGATAGTTGTTGGTCTTAATAACCTGATCCTGTATTGCACAGACCCTGTAGTACCTCCCGTGGAGCTCCTTCTCCTTCCATACGGTCTACCGGTCGGAAATGCTCTGTACTGCCGGGTCCTGCCATTGCTCGTTGGCTAAAGATAGAGGGGTAAGTCCTTTATCACTAGAAATTACGTCATTATAGAATGGATCCTCCGATCTTGCCAGGAAATAATCACGGAGGCTGCACACTTCGCGATTATGTATGGTGAGCGCGCTTAAGAAGCCACGCCCATCATGCTTTCGCGGCAAGTACAGCCTCATTACCGACGATCTCGGATGATGCATCCTATGGGACGTCATTGTAGTGTGGACTTTACTATCCAGGGCATTTAGTTCAGTCTGACTCCACCTGAGTATGCCAAATGTATACATGAGGACAGGCATGACCCAGCCGTTATAAGCGTGTGTCTTATTCAAACCAGACAAAAGGATGTTAAGCACTTTGGTCAAGCGTGCATAAAACACGTCGCAAACTAAGTGTTTCATACCAGCCTCATCGATACCGATGTTCTGTGACATACCCAGTTATCGGTATGTTTCAGCCTCGGAAAGGGTCCTTAAGTTGACGTTCATAGATAAGTCTATGCCCTCAGATTTAGCAACCCTTCCCCTTTCAACATGGAGGACCGCACACTTAACCGCACCAGCTCTATTCTAATGAAATTGCTAAATTCACAAGTAATGTTTAGCAATTTCATAAGATGGGAGCGACTGGAGGCGAATAATTTGAGGTCATCCATATGGAAAAGGTGGATCACTTTTTTACCTCCTTTTCCGAAGCTGAAATCCTCTCCCGCAGTCCTCCAGTAAAGTACTGAGAGGGTTTAAAGAGAGGCAAAACCAGATTGGACTCAGACAGTCGCCCTGGATAATACCCCTTCTTATCCTTATGCGGCTTTACGCAGCCGCCATCCGCTCGCTTAGATGACAGGATCGTACTCCACTGTTCCATACACTGCTCGAGGAAGTCTCGAACTGTACTGTCAATCTTGTACAGCTCTAGGACCCTCTTTAGCCATGTATTGGACACCGAGTCAAATGCCTTTCTGTAATCTATCCAGGCGGCGGAGAAGTTCCGACGGTTTCGTTTCACCACTTTGCCAATGACCGCGTCAATGAGGAGTGGTTCCTTGGTTCCACGACCGCCGCCCCGACATTCATTTTGAGTGCGCGACATCACCTAATTTGAGTTCAGGTGACGAGTGATTCTCGCGCTCAAAATTGATGTTAGTGTCTTGTATGTGGTCGGTAGACACGTGATGGGGCGGTATTTGCTCGGGTCTGTGGCACCCTGATCTTTAGGAACCAAATGAGTTATCCCAGTAGTGAAGAGGCTCGGGAGTGACTTCTGGTTGAGAGCCTCTTGAAACTGTCGAGCGAGCACAGCATGACACAACATGAACCCGTTCAGCCAGTAGTGATGCAGCCCGTCAAGCCCCGGACTTTTCCAGTTCGGGGCCCTACGGACCACCTCGGCGTAATACCCGCACACTGACTCGCCACAACTTCCGTCCAAGGGACCTCGTTGTGGTGTACGGGCTCTGACCACAGGCTGCGCCAGAATGCGACCGTGTCGGCCTGATTCGGTACTGGGCCCGTTCCACTTACCATTGGTCGCTCCAGTGATTTATAGAGCCTCTTCTGATCACTCTGGAAGAGAAGATTCTGGTCGAACCGTGTCGACCTTTCGGTATATCGCCGAATCCGCTTTCCCCAAGCAGCGATTCTCTGCTTCAGGTCGTCTATGCGCTCCGTCAGTTTTTGCATTATATCAGGCTGAGACAAACTTAAATTTGTCCCAGCAAACGCCATCCGATGGTGCGCACAATCCTTGGCCAGGTATTTCCTGACCTAAAGCATATCAGTCTGCCGATGAGGGCCCTAGCCTTTGCGATACGTTCTTCAATTCTTGTTCTCCAGGCTGGGATAGCACTACTTTTTTAGCCAGTGCGGGCCAAAGAGAATTGAATCCGTCTCGCAAAGGTCCCGGTTGGCTTCCAAATAGGTCACCATCATTGGGTTCAGAGCCCTCACGATAGCCCGATTCCGCTTGCTGAGGGCTATGCGGGGAAGTCGCGGTAGATTTTAGAGGCATACTGCGCGTTTCCAAAATCGCCTCATCCAATGTACTCCTCATTTGCTCCAGTTCCAGTTCCTGGGCGACTGTTCCATCATCGTTTGAATCGACCACAACTGGGGTATTCACGACGTCATCCACGTTTGCCGGTTGTTCTGCAAGTTGTGGCGCCGCATCCTCAGCCGTAGCATTTCCACCCGATGAAGGAACAGCCTCACGTCGTAGCCGTTCGAGTGTGTGACATCAAATGTATTTGAGCGCAAGATATACCGAACTCGGTCTGCCAAGTTTTGCTCGGTGACGGTTACAGATAGCTCCAGCTCAGCAAAAAGTCGATGCATCCTTGCCCGATACGCAAAACCTCCAATTTCTCCCCGTATCGCCCTAAAATACGCCCGCAATGCGTTGCTGTTAATTTGAGTTGTCCAACGCATGCGGCGTGCTCCACCAGTAACGGGTGCCGATTGCTAGTCCCGCGAAGACCCTGCCGACACCAAGCCAGCTGGTAGGGATGATGGATGCGAGGGGCTGCTGGGTGGTCATGCAGCACCTCGCGCTCGTTGGCTGGCGGTTCGCATGCTTTCGCGACCAGCGCCAGCTCCAGACGCGCTCTGGCGTCCTCCAGGCAGCGGCCCTTTGCGCATTCTAGTCAAATCCATCATCCATTTTTGTGGGCGTCATTTAACGGGAGACGCTCAGACCCGGCGCCGTTGCATGGTGGGCCATGTGCACAAGCGGGCCTTTGCATCTTCAATTTTTGCCAAAGCACTGCACTAGCACCTCTTGGCAAGGTGCTGACTGACTGCGCTGAAGTATCGGTTTTGTCACATAACCGTTACGTCAGCGGGCGATAGGGTCGTCACTTCCCTGCGCCTATTATTATTATTATTGGGGTATCTATATAATTTTCTCACCTGGTTGGGTTCTATAAATATATAATTATAAATTAAAATGAAAAGATAAATGTACATAAATATCAATAAAATAAAATAAATACAAAAACTACGGGATAAGTCGCTCGCGTCCGTAGGCTTTGACCACCTAATCCTAGGCCCACCCTACACGTGTCCCCCGGGTGGTGCTAAATGAGCGACAAGCCGATAGCACAGACTCGGCTCCTCGCCGTGGTAGCGGCGTTAAATATACCACCCCATTCGCACCATGAGGAATCAAAGTAAAGAAATGGCCCCGAGTTCCCGGCGCCCCTTTAATGGGGCAGGGGTGCGAAGAATCTCCGGGAGGAAAACCGGCGACGAGGCTCGCCACCCGTCACGTTCTGTCTCCCGGAGGGGCGAAAAGTGGATTGCAGAGGCCCGTCTGGCTACGTTGAATGTATGTGGAGCAATGAATGATAAAATGGGTGAAGTATGCGAGGTGATGTATGATAGAGGAATAGATTTGTTATGTGTAAATGAGACGAAACGGAAGGGGAAGGATGTCACTACACATGGCATGTATACCGCATACTGGTCTGGTGTAGACGAGCTCGAGCGGGCATGCCAGGGAGTAGGGATCATCCTATCAGAAAGAATGGTGCAATGTGTGAAAGAGTATGAATGTGTAAGCCCAAGACTGCTATGGATACGATTGAAAGTGGGCTTAAAGAAGTTGTTTGTACTAGGGGTCTACGCCCCAGACATGTCTAAGCCCACTCATATCCGAGAGCAGTTTTGGGAAATGGTAAGGATGGTATTAATGAAATGTAAGGGAAATGAAAATGTTGTTATGCTAGGAGATTTTAATGGAAGAGTTGGGGTGAGGAGGCTTGGTTATGAAAGGATATTGGGAACGTTTGGTGATGAAAGTATAAATGAGAATGGTGAAAGCCTCCTCACTGTATGTATGGAAAAGAATCTTTTTGTGACGAACACTTTCTTTCGCCACAAGAGGATTCACATGTACACTTGGGAAAGAGGTGATGATAGAAGCATGATAGATTTCATAATTGTGGATGAAAGATTGAGGGGCGCAGTGGTGGATACAAGGGTTTACCGGGGGTCAAACGTAGGAACGGATCATTTTTTGGTTTTATGCCGAATTAATGGTCTATTCAGGCGGTGGCGCCATCGGTCATCTGTGTCTACCACTGCGTTACAGCGTATTAGAACAGAAAGATTACAAGATGAAGGTGAGAAAAAACAAGTTTAAATGTAGACTGAAAGAAAACGTAAGTGGTTTGGATGAATTATGTATGAATGAGTTAGACTTGGAGAATGTATGGCAAAATGTTAAGAAAGGTTTAGTAGATGCAGCTACCGAAGTATGTGGTGTTAGTAAAAGAAAGAATGAAAGGAAAAATAATACGTTATGGTGGGATGATGAGATACGTACGGAAGTTGAAGCAAAGAAGAGAGCATGGCTAGATTTACTAGCAACTAAGGCTGGTAATTCAAGCGGTACGAATGATGATTTTGAAAGAAAAAAGGCAGTCTTTAGAAAGAATGGTGCAATGTGTGAAAGAGTATGAATGTGTAAGCCCAAGACTGCTATGGATACGATTGAAAGTGGGCTTAAAGAAGTTGTTTGTACTAGGGGTCTACGCCCCAGACATGTCTAAGCCCACTCATATCCGAGAGCAGTTTTGGGAAATGGTAAGGATGGTATTAATGAAATGTAAGGGAAATGAAAATGTTGTTATGCTAGGAGATTTTAATGGAAGAGTTGGGGTGAGGAGGCTTGGTTATGAAAGGATATTGGGAACGTTTGGTGATGAAAGTATAAATGAGAATGGTGAAAGCCTCCTCACTGTATGTATGGAAAAGAATCTTTTTGTGACGAACACTTTCTTTCGCCACAAGAGGATTCACATGTACACTTGGGAAAGAGGTGATGATAGAAGCATGATAGATTTCATAATTGTGGATGAAAGATTGAGGGGCGCAGTGGTGGATACAAGGGTTTACCGGGGGTCAAACGTAGGAACGGATCATTTTTTGGTTTTATGCCGAATTAATGGTCTATTCAGGCGGTGGCGCCATCGGTCATCTGTGTCTACCACTGCGTTACAGCGTATTAGAACAGAAAGATTACAAGATGAAGGTGAGAAAAACAAGTTTAAATGTAGACTGAAAGAAAACGTAAGTGGTTTGGATGAATTATGTATGAATGAGTTAGACTTGGAGAATGTATGGCAAAATGTTAAGAAAGGTTTAGTAGATGCAGCTACCGAAGTATGTGGTGTTAGTAAAAGAAAGAATGAAAGGAAAAATAATACGTTATGGTGGGATGATGAGATACGTACGGAAGTTGAAGCAAAGAAGAGAGCATGGCTAGATTTACTAGCAACTAAGGCTGGTAATTCAAGCGGTACGAATGATGATTTTGAAAGAAAAAAGGCAGTCTTTAGACATCTAAATAAAAGAGTAAAAGAAGTAGTTGAAAGGAAAAAGCAAGAAAGAACGGATAAGAATGATAGAAGAATATCGGATAACTTCCAGGCAAATATTAAAATGTTCTGGAAACTCGTAAGAACTGCCAGGGGATGTTCAAAACAGCCTATAATGAATGCTATAAGAGATGAGAATGGCTATATTCTGAATGATGAAGTTTTGAGTTTAAAGAGATGGAAGGAATATTTTGAAAGCATGTTTATGAGTGAGGAGACAACGTATGAACTGAATGAAATAGGAACTCCGAAAGAAGAGGAATAAGGTAGCGAGATAAGTATAGATGAAATAATGAAAGCAATGAGAAGCATGAAAGCAGGTAAGGCTGCCGGATATGATAGAGTTTCACTCGAAATGCTAAGGGCTGGAGAGGAAGTGGTGGCAGGCCTGCTGCACACCTTGTTTAATTTATGCTGGGAACTGAAGCGGGTACCGGGAGACTGGTGCAAAGCCGTGATAGTCCCAGTATATAAGGGAAAAGGGTCGCAGCAGGACTGTAAAAACTACCGCAGTATCAGCCTTCTTAGCATCGTGGGAAAACTGTATGCCAAGGTACTAATTAAAAGGGTCATGAAAGAAACCGATGGAAAAATTTGGGATGTGCAAGCGGGATTTAGAAAGGGAATGGGATGTACAGATCAAGTCTTCTCTATGCGCATGATCGCGGAGAAGTTTTTGGCCAAAAACCAAAAGGTTTTTTGTGCGTTCATGGACTTGGAGAAGGCCTATGACAGAGTGGATAGGAATGTGCTATGGCAAACACTGAACTCATTTGGGTTGAGCGCTGGCTTGATACAGGCATTGGAATCTCTTTATAGGGACTCTAGTGCTTGTGTTAGGATCAACGGGGTCTACTCGGACTGGTTTGGCATCCATAAAGGTGTCAGACAGGGCTGTGTGGCTTCCCCGTGGTTGTTCAACCTATTTATGGACAGTTGTTTGCAAAATTTGAAAGTTGAAGAATGCGGATTAAGAATGGGTGAGTTAACCATCAAATGCCTTTTGTACGCCGATGATCAAGTTATTCTTGCGTCGTCGGCGGCTGAGTTGCAAATGATGGTTATATTAATGAACAGATCATTAAAAGAAAGGGGTATGAAAGTGAACGCAAGTAAGACAAAAATTATGGTTTTTGAAAGAGATGAAAGTAAAACGATATGTGAAATAAGAATAGAAGGGGAGTTGATCGAGCAAGTAGATGAGTTTGTATATTTGGGTTGCGTATTTAGCAGGGATGGGAGATATGATAAGGATATAGAACGACGAGTGAACGCAGGAAACAGAGTAAATGGAGCCCTGCACTCTATTGTGAAGAGTCAAAATGTGTCAAAAAAGGCACGTATGGCAATTCACAATGCTGTGTTGGTCCCTACTTTAACGTATGGTAGTGAAAGTTGGGTAGGCAGAAGAAGCACGAGAGTAGAATAAATGCAGTAGAAATGCGGTCGTTAAGGAGTATGTTAGGGCTGAATCTGAATGACAGGGTGAAAAATTGTGTGATAAGAGAAGAGTGTGGTTTGCAAGATGATGTTGTGACCAGGATTAAGAAAGGAATGCTTCGGTGGTTTGGTCATGTGGAAAGAATGGATGAGGAAAGAGTGACAAAGAAAATTTATGTTGCAGAAGTGAATGGCAGAGTCGGAAAGGAACGTCCTAGGCGAAAATTTATCGACCAAATTGGCGATTTATTGAAAACGGGCCAAATTAGGAGTACCCTTAACCGACGAGCATGCATGCGTAGGTGTATGGATGTGAAGGAGGCGAGAGAG